CAGGTGCTCAGATTAATTTGATTCTTATCTTTGTATGAGATTTGATCAACTAAATGATTTTTCTCCCTAATTTAACTAAGACCCTTAGTTAAAAAAACAGCTAAAAGCAAAACTCACCTCACCTCATTCCAAGCCTCAAACTCACCTCTCGGTGTTTATTTTATTTGTTTGTTTGTTTGTTTGTTTATTCACGTGTGATTGCAAACTCTGTTAGTTTTACTCATTACTCACCATAGTTGTAAATACATTTAATCTGTAAATAAATGGGCCGTGGAGAACGTGCCAACATAAGCTAATCTCACTTTTGTGTCTTGACAAAGTATTATTGGTTCTGATAAGGACAAGYACTCATCAAACGATTTTGGGTACATTTATTTTGAGACTGATTACAATAAAGTTACAGGTTTTCGTCTCTTTCCTGGGTTAATTTTTGACCAAATTAAGAACGTGGTGCCTCGAGGTAAGATAATTTGCGTATTTAAATAATTCACAAATTATCCATTTTTGAATATACCCAAAACTCCTACAGCGCCAACACAAAAGTCAGAGACTTCACATGAGATTTGGACCATCTTGTGGGGAAAAAGCAGATTACTTCCTACTCACGAGCGCCCCCTCTGGTGGAGAAACTTTTTTCAGGGATACAAACTTTTTTAGAACACCGGTAGATGGAACCCATTACAGACGAACATGTTTGTTGTTGTTCCAGCAGCAGCTCGGTCACACACCTATGTCATTAGTTTGTTATCATTACTGAGCTGCAGGACTGCTTTCCCCCTTTTTTTCACATCATGTCGCCTGCATTGATCTGTTACTATCTCGCTCTAAAGCATGGAGGAGTGTCAGAGGTGAGCTCGTTTCAACTGCTTTTTACGACGCGGTCTCATTTCCGGACTCAATAATTTTGCCGATATTTCAGTTAAAATACATAAGTAAAAATATTTATCCGTGTATAATACTACCCCCCAACTTTATGGATGATTTTATGGATTAAATATTACGTATAAAATAATGAATAAATACGGTAATTTACAGCCATTTCCTGTAAGTCCTATAAGTTCCATTGGATCTATGGCAGCCATCTTGAATTGAGTTAGCTTCAWAATTAATCAGCTGTAGATATATCCAATCATTATTTCTCGTAGGTCCGTCCGTTTCCTTCCTCTTATCCAGGGTCAGGTCTCGGGAGCAGTAGCCTAAGCAGAGAGACCCAGACTACCCTCTCTCCAACCTCTCTGGGGGAATCCCAAGGCGTTCCCAGGCCAACTGAGAGACATAGTCCCTCCAGCGTGTCCTGGGTCTTCCTCTGGGTCTCCTCCCAGTGGGACGTGTCCAGAACACCTCACCAGGGAGGATTCCAGGAGGCATCCTGACCAGATGAACCAC